TACCATTAGTAAGAACAGAGGAGGAACCAAAAACAAAAATTTAAACGGCAAAACTACCAGTACCAATTACTGCCAAAAAAGAAAAAAGAAAGAAGAAAAAGAGCATAAGGAAAAGATGAACAAATTAACAGAAATAAAGGAAAATTATATTCAAACTAACTAAAGCAATAGGAGAAAACTCACCTATGCAAGGTCGAACGGGACTGGAAACTCGATTCGAGCCACGGAACAATGTTAAGCATTTGTTCTTCTCAAAGAACAAACGAAAACATTGCGTCGTGACTCGAATCCCATATCAGACTCAAGAAATCGAGCAAAATGGATTTCTAGGGTTCTGTCGGCTCTATGTTTAAAAGTTCGAGCCGTTTTAATGATGTTCAAAGGAATCTAGTTGGGTATTAGGAATGAGGAAGGTTAGGGGTTTGGAGTTGTTTAGAGCCGGCGCCGCCGTGTGCGGCGGAGATGGAAGTTAGGTTTTTGCAGATTCGGGGCATTTGGTTGGGATTCGGAGGAAAACAATGACGAATATGGGACGGGGAGATGAAGGAGATGACATGGTGAAAACTTGGGACGATTTGGACGTTGGCCGCCGCCGTGAGGCGATTTCCGGCGGCGGCGTTAGGGCGGAGGGCGACGGAGACGGTGGCGTTACAAGGTTGTACGAGGAAGGTGATATTTGTTTTAGGGTTAATGCAATTTTTCGGACAGTTTTATTAAACCCTTTGGATTAATGAGGGCCGTTAGATGATGGTGGAACGGAGGGTCCAGATTAGCGGACGCCAAAACGGCGTCGTTTTGTTTTGGGGGGGACTGGACCGGGCAAAGGGCGTGGGTTTGGGCCATTTTGGACAGGTTTAGGAAGGGGTCTTGGGCTGGGGGCTGGTACGAAAAGTGGCCCAAATAACCTGGCCCTTGATTTCGTTTATTTTTTCTTCTTCTTTTTTCTTTGTTCTTTTATTTGTTTATTTATTTATTTCTTTGCAAAATTAAGACTAACAAAGCCTAATTTGACTCCCAAACTTAGACTAATTAATTTTCTAAAAATAAACTAAATCCTAATTTGAAAGGAAACTAAACAAAAAGAGAATTTAAAAGAACAAAAAAATGTAAAAGATTTATTTTTTGTTATTTTTCTCTTATTTTAGTAATATCAATTAACTACTAAAACTAAGAATATAAAATCGAATTCTAAATGCAAATGCACTATTTTTTGTGCTTTTTAATGAATTATGGCACCTAAAATGCACACAAAAATACAAACAAGACACAAAATCATGCAATTAATTCAAATAATAAAGAAAAATCCTAATTCTAAGGAATTTATAGGAGTAATTTAAGCGTGGCAAAAATCACGTGCTCACAGGTTCATTTCTTTCATCTCTTGGGCGATTTTTTAGCTCTTTGAAGAGGGGTTTTCACCTAGCTATTTAAGGTAAGTAATTCCTACCCAATGTGAGTTTAATACATAGATTGTAGGTAGATTTTAACATGTAAAAATTGTGAAAAATTATGGGTTTAGTTGAAAAAGCAAGGTTTTGATAAAAATATGATTTAACCACAAAAATGATTATGGAATTGGGTAGAAATTGTATATTTGTGTTCGTGAGATTGTGGGTAACAATTATCTTCGAAAATTTTCGGAATCCGGGCACGTGAGCCCGGGGGTAAATTTTAAGAATCTTCCAATTTTGGTTGGGTAATTACTCTAATAGCTAAATTATTAACTTTTGAGTGTATATTTACTAATTTATATTATATTTGGTTAGTTTACTATTATTCGGCACCAAGTTGAGGCTTTAGAGTGAATTTGTGGGCCGAAAACTGAGCTTTAAGACGAGGTATGTCTCTTGCTTTTGTAAGAGGGAATTTACCCCATAGGTGTTTTAAATTACTATTTGCTTCTATTTGTGGTGGGCTACGTACGTACGAGGTGACGAGAGTCCTTGCGTAGCTATTAATCATGCTAAGTCCGGGTAGTTTTATGACCCAGATCATGAACTACTTGTATTGTATGCACTCTACTTGTTAATCTAAGTGCCTAAATTATATTGAAACTTGATAAAGAATTCGTAAAGACCGAACTTCATTTACTTCGAGTTTGGCAGATTACTTGATCGGTAGTAGAAATTGTACTTCCATGTTTATTAGTCTTGTGGTAGCTCTTAAATAGGATATTCATAGAGTATTCTCTCTTCTTGTGGAGCGGGCCGAACGCCTCGGAAGTATAATAGATGCATCTATGGTTCGTGCCGCTCGACACTCGGCAGTGTACACATTATTCTGGATTGGGCCGTACGACCTCGGCATAAATCGTGCGTGATAATGCTTGGAGCCTAATTACACTTGATATTATTTTTATGACTTAAGAGATTATAAATTATTTTAATGGCCTGAAATTGTTGAAGTTAGTACGTGTCAATTGGGGACTTTTAAATTGACTATCAGTTAAAAAATTATTTATTTCTTGCTGGTTATTGTGTTATTATTATTGTTTCATGTATTCCATGCCTATTTAGAATTTTTGTATTTTTATTATTGGCTCGTAGTAAGTGTCGAAGTCGACCCCTCGTTACTACTTCTTCGAGGTTAGACTGGATACTTATTGGGTACATATTTTTATGTACTCACGCTACACTTCTGCACTAATCGTGCAGGATCAGAGGCAAGTGCTTCTAGCAGTCAGTCAGGCGCACACCCCTGCTACCCCGAGTCTTTGTGGTGAGCTGCTCTCTGAGGCCGTTCTGCATCACCCGCAGTTCCCTTTTGTATTTACTTTCTGTCTACCACATATCAGATAGTAGCATAGTGTTTTGTATATTCTACTAGTTGCTCATACACTTGTGACACCGGGTCTTGGAAACATGCTAGTAGACACTTGATGGCTTTTGAGTATTTATTTCACCGCACTTGCTCTTTTATTTGTTTTTACGCTTTACTTTATTGAATTTTCAACTTCTTATTTGCTTAATAAATAAAAGTCAACTACTTTGAAATTATTAGAAAGAATAAATACATGGATGTTGGCTTGTCTAGCGGCGACGTTGGGCGTCATCACCCTATAAGAGAAATTGGGTCATGATACTTCACTCTTTTGTGTACATAGTAAATCTACTAAAAGTGAATTATAATGCTTGTTAAGAGTAGAATAAAGAACTTGTAATTGGGTAGACAATTGTATAGGAGGTTGCATACAAGAATGTCTTCAACTCTTCTTTAAATAGTTGTTCTTCTTGCTTCCAATGGTTCTGATTGTTGATCCATATTTGTTGTAATCTTCCTTGATATGGTTCCCTAAGTTTTTGCATGGTTCTTCTCTTGTTGCTGTATTCATTGCTCATTCTTGTGCATGACCCAAGAGATTTAGATTACCTTCACAATTATTGCTATCCGTATATAGAGAGAGTTTAGCTAATTGTAGAAACCATGTATTAATTTGTACTATTTTGTCTATCATAGGATTTTGCCTTGATCTTATCCTTCTTGAATATGGTGTATTAATTCATGGGCAGGAACTTGTTGATCTCCATGATTGATTGTATACAATATCTTTTTCTTGTACAGATCCTTGTTTTATGCCATCTAGTTGTATATCACGGTCATATTCTATCTTGAGCCTCCTTTAATTCTTTTCCTTTTTGGGCACCAAAGATGTATTCTTCAATATCTCGTATACTCATAACTCTTGTTTCCTTCTTTGACAATAGAAAATAATATCTTTCCATTCATAATGTAGTATCACTGTCTTCTTTGATTTTTCTTCCTTAACTAGATATATACATCGTTTTATTGCCAATATACTATTTACCAAGTGTAGTACCAATCTTCTGTCCAATCTTCCTCTCATAAGGTGGTAGATCTTCAATATAGAAAATATTTCTTTTTTATAGAATGTCTCACTTCCATTTATTCTCCCATGGCTTCATCGCACATATCTTCTTTTCCATATTTGTCTGGAGCTTTACCAAATTCTTCTTCATATAATAACCTTGGGGTCCTTTAATATAAAGATATCAGCAACCATTTATTATCTCCACAATTATGGAAATAATTTCCTTTTGAACAAATCTCAAATTATCTTTGAACTCCTATTATATGGGAAATATTTCTTTCTTAATCTTGGGAAATAATCTCTTTCCATAATATAGATTGTACTACATTCATAATATATTTTCTTTCCATAGAAAATATATTCTTCTCATATTTTATTGGAAATATTCCTTTCTTGATCTTAGAAAATAATCTTTTTCCATAATATAGATATTTTCTTTCCATAGAGAATATATTCTTCCTTGGCCTTGTATTATCTTTTCCATATAGTATCTTCCTTCCATAAAATAATAGATCTTCTCCAGGGTTCTAGCAACCTTTTTTTTTCAAGATATTTAAGAACTTTTCTTCCCGAATTTTCGTAGCGCCTTCTTCTGATATTGTAGTAAACCATTCAATATTTGAAATATGACTTTCAAATATTATTCCTTCCATGATGCTTGGAGATTGAATCTCTGAAAATAATCCTCCTTGATAAATTCATCACATGATATTCTGTTTCCCATATTTGTTTGGATCTTTACCAGCATCTTCTTTCTTGAATAAACTTGGGCAAGAATAAGATTACCACAAGTAAATGTTCTTGAGTAATAATTATGTTGGTTTGCTGTTATCAAAATCAATGCGTGAAACCTTGAAACTAACAGCTCTCTCGATATTTTATATTCTCTTTTATATAGTGAATTGCTCATCTCCGCCATGGATGTAGGTCAATTGATCGAACCACGTTAAATGTTAGTGTCTCTTTTGGTATATTTCTCTTTTATTGTCTGATTTATCGTTGTTCAAGGTTTATTTTGCTAGCTTCCGCATGACACCTGATTATTTCGATTATTTCGATCCTAACATGTGGCCCATATTGGTTGTCCATCTTCTTGAGTTTATATTAACACATTCCTATTTGTGGAGGTACACAATCATATTTGTGAGGTCTGCATATTTTGAGTGTGAAATCAGGTAATCTAATTGTGCTTGATATATGACAATGCATTCACATTAGCAGTACTCTGATACACACCTGGCAAATTCAATGTACATCTTACAAATAGGAAGGTGTAGAAGTAGCAGAAGAAGAGAAAGGGGATGATGTCAAAGACGACGAAGAAGAAGACAGCAAGTAACTCGAATTGAACTCTATCTGCAACCGATGATGTAGAGAGAAATAAGAAACTGTCTCCTTTTCCTCTTGTTCCTCGAGTTCCTTCAGAGGGATAGCCGCGAGAAATCTCTTGATGAATTCTCTGCAGCATTCTTTCCCATTGCATATCATCTCCTCCTTGCCAGCTTCCTTAGCCTTAGTACCATTTTTCTGTGACTTCTCCTCCGCGTTAACCTTCTCATACATCATTGTACTATCGTCAAACTTTAAAACGTATGCTTTGTTGCAACCCTCAAATAGCCTTTCTCCCAATGTATCAATAATGTAATAAGCGCTAGCTTCCACCTTCAACACGAAGAAATGATCGTTCCAACTTATAATATATACTCTAGGTTCAAATGCAGTGTCTTCTGCAATGCTACTAATCTTGTCCCATATTTGATCAAATGACATTACTCCTTGCAATGATTCAAACTTCTCAGGGCTGAAGAATCCAACGAAGGATTGATCATGCGATATGGCTATAGGTCGAATACCAGCACGCAAAATAGTCTCTAAATCAAAGTGCTTGTTTGGGAAATCATTGATGTAAGTATCGTTTTGACATAGCTTTCTCCATTCTGAAGAACCCTGTAGTATGAGATTATCGAATTCAGACCTCGTGGGCATTGCATCTCTATTCGACTGCAGCCAATGGGAGATGACAGCGACTAGTGCTGTGCAGGCGCTCTCACCAGCAGCCTTGTCGCTACACTGGTCGAAAGATGCAAAGAAGACATTGGTTTTGAGCCTTGTTTGTCCATCCCTACTCTGTAGCTCTTTCACTTCCCAAGCAGATTTCTTGCTGCTGCCTTCATTTTTGTCCTTTGATTCAGTAGAAGGTTCAGGCTTCCCCACATTCTGTTAGTGAAAATTGCATAAGTATCAACGGACAAAGTTTCACCTTATACCTACATTTAGTCTAGGATAAGAGATTTCATGATTACATTAAACAAATTTCCAGCTTAAAAACATAACAGAATTGACTCATATTGTTTGTTTTACTTGTCAACAAGGTAGATATATGGTTTCTAGATCGTCAACAATGAGATATTATAGCAAATAGTTAAAATTTCAGATGAATATACAGCTCAAAGATAAATTTTACCAATATATAGACCTATTTGATTGTGAATTTGGCCTTGACTTGTTCCAAGTGTTTATAAAAGATGACAATGACAATATTTATCTTGGTCAAATCTAAGCTTCGGAAGACACTGACTTCTCAACTTTTCCATTATTCTACTCCCTCCGTCCCAAATTAACAGTCATTTTAGCTCAAAATAACTGTCACTTTAGAATTCAATACTAGAATTTGTTAATTATTTTCAGCTATACCCTTAATGTTAAAGAAGTAGTAGTTCTTTTTAATACTGTCCAATTCTTAGTAAACTACTAAACTATATCTTGTATTTATTGTTTTTTTAATGGACGTGAAGAGAGCTAAAGCGAAAGTTAGTATAAATCGGAGATTGTATTAGTTTAGTATAGTTTTTGCAAATGTACCTGTTGGCTGAATCGTGACACAACACTAAAGCTACGACTCTTTTTAATCGACGGTTCTGCTTTACTCCTCGTTGGTCTCAGACTCAATCGCCTTCTCTTCCAAGAGAACCACCCAACTTTGTTAACTGAGTCAGGCTGAGTTTCTAAACTCGGTATCGATCCCGACTCAATCGCCTTCGGTTCCACTGCTTCAAATGTGGATGACTCGTCCGAGTCATCTTCTTGACTCAGCTGGTTCTCTTTGTGTCCTTTTCTGTCACATAGACTTTTACTCTTAGCTAAACTTTGCAGCTGACTTGAGTCACGGGCACAACCCGCCGTGTCTTGAACATCTCTTATCTCAGCAAATTTTACTTTGACCTAGAATTATTGAAATTGACAAAGTCAGAATAATCATATATAATGGGTAATTAAAAATACTAAATGGCTTTATTGTCTCATTTTATTTAATAATTTTTAGAAAAAGAGGGACTTTCACATTATTATTTAACTTCACGTCTAGTCATAGGTTCAAATAAAGTGAAATAAAGGGAGTATAGAATAAGATACATTATCAATCATTGTCCTTTAAACTGCTGGAACATCAAGGAATTAGTCAGCTAAAAGCTGTCACTTTTGCTTAGTTTATTAACAAGTCAGAGAAATATTCTACTAAATTCTCGGCAAGATTTATTCATTACTACCCTTAGATATTTGACTTGTCAACCCCCCACACCACACACACACACAAAAAAAAAAGCAAATAGCGTAGAAGTTTGACAAAATAGGGCATTAATCCCAAAAGGAAAAATTATGAAAATAAAACTAATATTCTGCTGTGAAAATAAAACAAGAAAAATTAGTTTAACGACAGATTAACAACGAATTATAAAATATAAAAAAATTAGTTAGCTTGGGCAATTTAGCATAGTTTAGCGACGAAATTCGTAGATAAAAAAGAACAAAAGGATGGAACTTACATGGAGAGTGGCTGATATAGAAAGTTTACCAATATTCAAAGTAATGGGAAGTTTCTCTTCAATTTCAGACACCATTTTTGAAGCCATTTCTGCTACATTAACCACCATTTTTCCAATCAACACCATTTTTGCCTCCAAATTATTTGAGTATAAAACATTAAATGAGACATCCCAAGGCGAATACTTTAGACTTTGATAACAACCAGAAACCTCTGTAAAACAACAAACATTCTCAAACTCATCTCCATCATTATTCCATTCAATGGAATTATTAGCTTGCCCTAATTTCTTCAATATTCTCCGACTTGTAACATCTTTCTTTTGCTTATAATGAAATGGAACTAATCCAAACTTTGGTTCACCTTTCCATTTCATCTTAATTGCCATCATCTTCACCCCATCAAATGCTTCAATATTATCATCAACTCCTAATTCTAGCTTCAACGTCCTAATTTTCACATGAAACTTTTTAATTTTCACCATCTTCACCACCATTCAAATATAAGACTTTGTTCAAGACAGAAAAATATATAATGCTATTTATTAATTTATACAATGAGAAGAAAGATAGTTTCCTTAGTAAGCAAGAGATGAGAAAATATATATAGATTCAAGAAAAGAAGTGGTGTAAGGGAGTTGTCATAAGACAAATGAATAAGGGACACGTCAACGCGGGAAAGGAATTTCAACACGTGGGAGGTACGCGTGTGTTTAGAGGAACCAAATCTTATGATGGATTTAGGATATTCGTGTAAAACATGAGAACGAAGGGTACTTTTTGTTCTCCCAACGTGTTAAATTTGTTTTTAATTGTTTCCCCTTTTGATGTTCAAAGTTCAAACTACCTATGAAAATATAATATTTGTACCACGGGATATAACATTTTGAAGCTATTCTATCTTATTCGGTATATGAAAATTTCTTCTAGAAATTGTAAGTCTTTTATTTGACTTGGAACTGGTATCGTAGAAGGCCTTTCATTGGAACAATTCATTTAATAGTGTCCACTGTCCATTTAAACTGTGACAACAAAAAAGATACCGAGTTTCATTTCAACTTTCTCTTTTATTGATCTAATAAAAAGATTATCAAACACCTTAACTATCAACTAAAATAACTATAAAAGTTATTTGTGTTTGGCGAATTCCATTTAAAGCTTATAATATTTGACCTTCTGACCTTCCTAACACCAAATGCCAAACTCTATTGATCATGCTACCACTTGGGGTGGCAAAACTAACTCAAACTAATTTGATCAGCTCAAACTTTAATAAGTTTGGGCTAGAACAATTTTGAAGAGGGAAAAATATCAAATATGTTCATTTATAAGTAGCTTATTATAAAAATTGGTCAATTCATAAAATATTACTAATATTAGCCATTTAACTGTTTGTAACAAAAAAAGATCAACTTTTTGCTTTCGTCTGAGTGGATGTTATTAGAATAGGTTGGGTGTAACGACCCGATCAATCGTTTTGAGCATTTGCATTCCGTTGAGCTATTCAAAGTCTTGAGCGGCATTGTATGATGTATTATGACTTGTGTGAATCGTCGGTTTTGGTTTGCAGGTTATTCAGAATCGATTTGGAAGAATGGATTTCATTGTTGAAGCTTTAAGTTGGAAGAGTTGACCAAGTTCGACTCTTGTGAATTTGACCCTGGAACGGAGTTTTGATGGTTCCGTTAGGTCCGGATGGTGATTTTGGACTCGGGCATATGCCCGAATTTGCATTTGGATGTTTCTAGAAGGTTTCGGCACAAATTGGCGAAAGTTGACAATTTGAAGGTTTGGAAAGTTCATAAGTTTGATCGAGAGTTGACTTTGATGATATCGGGCTTGAATTGTTGTTCCGGGAATTTGAATAGCTTCGTTATGTTATTTGGGACTTATGTGCAAAATTTGGGTTCATTCCAGGTTGATTTGATAAGTTTCGGCGCGAGTTTTGAAATTTCAAATTTCAAAGTTCATTAAGTTCAATTTGAGTTGTGATTCGTCATTTCGATGTTGTTATGTGTGATTTGAGGCCTCGAGTATGTCCGTGTTAGGTTATGGGACTTATTGGTATGTTCGGACGGGGCTCGAGGGGCTCAAGTGAGTTGCGGACGTGTTTCGGATCACTTTCCTTCATTTTGGCATTGCTTGTTCTGCTGAGTATCTGGTTTCCTTGTTCGCGATCGCGTAGAGTTGCTTGATTGTAGGGGAAAAGTTGTTCATCGCGTTCGTGAGTCCTCACACGCGCTCGCGTAGGTTGCTATAGATTGTGCATCGCATTCGCGTAGTGTATGGCTGAGTTGGGAAGTCGATGGCCTCTTCTTCGCGTTTGCGACCCTTCTACCGTGTTCGCGTAGTTCTGTCTTCTGTGTGTATCGTGTTCGCGAAGCTTGTGCCGCGACGCATAGAGTATTTTGGTGGCAGATTACTTTTGTTCATCGCGTACGCAATGGATTTTCCGCGTTCGCATAAGAAGAATGCCTGGGCAGAATTATAAGTACTCTATTCGGGGGTTTCGGCCATTTTATCATATTTGGATATATGGATCTCGGATTGAAGCGATTTTTTAGGCGATTTTCACCACATGAATTGGAGTAAGTGTTCTCTACTCGATTTTTGGTTATATTTCATGAATCTATCCTCGTTTTTGGCATTTGGTTGATGATTTCAAAAGAGAAATTTGGGTTTTTTCACTATAGTTTCTTAGAGTGAGTTTTTGAGTTTTGAATATCGGTTCGGAGTCGGATTTGGGTGAAACTAGTATGGTTGGACTCGTAATTAAATGAGTTGTCACCATTTTGTGAGTTTGTTGGGTTCCGAAGTGCGGGTCCGGGTTTGACTTTTGGATTGATTTTGGGCTTTCGAGTAAAGATTCGACCTTTATCATTTGGAATTGTTTCCTTAGGCATGATTTGATGTTCTTGAGTTGCTTTTAGCTAGTTTCGACCTGTTCGGAGGTCGGTACGTACGGGATGGCATTTTAGAGCACCGTTTGGCTTGCTTGGTATTAGATTTATCTTGTTCGAGGTAAGTAACACTTCTAAACTTGGTGCTGAGGGTATGAATCCCTGAATTACGTGTTATGTGTTTGGGGTTGAGGTGACGCACATGCTAGGTGACGGGCGTGTGGACGTGCACCGTGTGAATTGTGACTCCGTTATTTCTGTGGTATTGTGTAGTGACCTGATCTTATCTGTAACCATGAAATCTCTACGTCTAGAGTAATTGAGCTGTGATCCATGTTAGAAACCATGTCGAGGCTACATGCTTATCTTGTTGGGACCCACTGAGATCATTTCTGCTATTGAGTTATTTGCTTACATTGCAATTACATACTCAGTCGTACGCACTCATATGCATATCATATCTCATTCTCTATTACCATTTATTGATACATCACATCATTATTTTTGGGCTGATTTTCATGACATTGTGAGCCCAAGAGACTAGAGAGATTGATGACTGAGCGAGGCTGAGGGCCTGATTGTGAGGTTATTGATGGCATCGTGCTGCACGCCGCAACAAGTATTATTGGTTTATCTATGGGATCGGGCTACACGCTGCATCATGTTTTATTGATAATGTCACGATTGACTTATTAAAGCGTTTGGGCAAAAGGGGGGCCCTCCGGAGTCTGTACACACCCCTAGTGAGCGCGGGTACCTACTGAGTGCGAGTGCCGAGTGATTGGGACGATTGAGCGAGTGTGATGACTGAGTGGTTGTGAGGACTGGGTGGCTGCGAGGATTGAGTGATTGGGAGGACTAAGTGCATTGATACACCGAGAGTATGCATATGGTTTTATCACATCATTGTATTAAAGTTGGCATGCATACATTGACATATAGGCGTAAAGATGTAGTTTCCTCATGCATTTGATAATGAAACATCTTATCTGTTGTTAAAAAGTTTTGGGAAAAATTACAGTTTTACAAACTTACTCATATTTTCGTGATTTCGGTAAAAGATTTGAGTTTTCACTAATATACTTGAAAAGCATGCCTATTTTCCAAAACTGTGGAAGAGTTGAGCATCTTGTCTCTGAGTTACTTCTTTTAGCACTTTTATGATGTTGTTATGAACTGTTGTTGGCTATTGGTGTTGGGCCCCGACCTATGTTCCAGCTCGTCACTACTTTCAACCTAAGGTTAGGTTTGTTACTTCTTGAGTACATGGGGTCGATTGTACTCATACTACACTTTTGTACCTTGCGTCCAGATTTTGGGTGTTGATGTTGTTGTGTATGACGGAAGCTAACATTGAAGACGTACATGCGTTCCAGTTACAGCTGCCTCTTGTTCGGGGTAGCTCTAGACGTATGAAAATCTGTTTATTTACATTTGGACAGATGATGTATTTATTTCATATAAGCTTTGTAAACTATAAATCTTAGAAGCTCGTGATTTGTACTGCCAGTCCTTGGGAATTGTTGTATAATAGTTCAGTTGTATTATCATTTCTTCTCTTAATAAATATCATTTGAACCGGTTTATTCTTACTGGCTTACCTAGCGGGTTGGGTTAGGTGCCATCACGGCTAGTTGCATTTTGGGTCGTGACATTGGGTACATCTTATAGAGCTTGAATCTTAGTGTTGGGATGATTTGGTGGAGTTTTGAGGTGGTTTGAATTGAAAATTTGAAGTAGAAGATGAACATGAAAAAAATGATAGGTGTACCACATATGTATCATATTTGTATCAAATGTGTATCACATGTATACCTGCGTGTGATATACATGTATGTGCCGTCGAAAAAAATTTGAACTCGATTTTAACTACGAAATTTGATACGAAATCACCTCCAATCTTTCTCAAATTTTGTATATTGACTCATTATATGTTTTCAATGAATCTCAACTAAATCCAATGAAAAAGGTCATTTTTTGCATATAATGTTGCTAATCACGCTTGAAAATATGTAAGGAGATCTTTGTGTGTGATTCTTGGAGAGAAAGAACCTCATTTCCTTAGGTTTTCAATTTTTATATATGCTTGACTAGTTTTGGTAAGTATATGATTAATGGCTAGAGGTTGGTAAGTTGGAACTTTTTTGGGACTTTTTTGTAAGATTCCCTTTTAAAAATGAGCTGTTTTGGCCTAGCCCAAGTTAACCCATCAAAAATCATCAACCTAAATGAACCCAAAACATAAGATAATTGTTATGCATGGTTGTTTAAAAGTTGAGAATATTGTAAAGATTTAGGTCAATTTGGGCAGATTGTATTACAACCCATTATTTAGCCCATCTTAACCCAACCCATTTTAACCAAAGTGAAAGGGTTGGGCAACGATCCATTTAATGAGTCAGCCTATCTAGACCAGCCCAAATACAACCCATTTGCCACCGCTATAGCATCAACCATCAGGGCAGAGTTAGCTTTTAGCTTACAGCTTCGGTCGAACTCAGTAGCTTATGTTCAAATTTTGTATTTGTTGTAAAAATTCAATGAATATATATAAATTATTAATTTAAAATTTAGTAACTTAAAAGTACTAAAATTCCGAACGCATAAACATCAAATCCTGGTTCCACCTCGGTAACAATCATATCAATAGTCTAAGGCTCGAAGGGAAGACGCTTGGAATTGCCTTTTGC